AATGAAGTGAACGTGAAGCTGCATGCATACATGGGTACACATATGCAGCCGTATCTTCGGTAGCGGTAGATTTGTAAGATGCCTATGGGCATCTCGTCCGAAACAACTCATTGAGAACGGAGGCTTTTTCACAGGACTTTGACCGTTTCACTCCATTTCCCCCACTATACAGCGCCCTACTAGCATTTTCGGCCGAGCACCGAATCATCGTGCCAACTGCCTTTAACAAAGCTTGTATTCTACATGTTGCGCCCCTCCCCTTTCCCACCCCTAGGTTATTAGCACCGAAAGTTCCACTCACTTCACTAGAATGTGCCATGTTTGTGACTTTATTTCACATTGTTTTCAATATTTTATTGACCATATTTTTCACTCTATGAGTGTTCAGCCTGCAATCGGTTAACCGTGCGATGAAGTGGTTCATAGAGCTTTTTTTATGGACGTTCTTCTTTCCTTTTCGGGCATTTCTAGGAGGGTGTAGCGGGAATGATCCTCTTTTTCGCTCCAAGAACAAGCCGATACAAAAAAGTAGACATTTGTATTGGCAGGGTACCCCTCCCGTCCCTCCCAGAACGATATGACTTATAAGGGGTCTACATGCTACCTTGTGCAGACCTGCACATCTTTGTGAAGCATCGCAGCTCCACGGTTCCACGGAGTTCACATGTCCCAGAACCGGTGAAAAAAATCGGAGAAATCGAAGAAAGAGCAAAATACTCACTCCCACCCCCTAAGGCGACCAATGCCCCGACGTCTTCATCAGGAGTAAAATATTAGGGAGACTACAGTCCTCATCATTGCGGACCGGTGGGGCGTGTCAGTGCGGCTGCGTTTGGCGCGGTGCCAAAGTCGTTCTGCACCAGTTGTTGAAGCGGGCAAGTGACATTACTGTATTATATCCTTCGTATTACTCGTTTTCTACCACTTTTTGTCGCATACGCGTTTCAAAAAAGGCTGAGAACGGCTTCAACAGTGTGCACACTCATACTGGCTGACACGCCCCACCGGTCCGCAATGATGAGGACTGTAGATGGAGCAGAGGCTAGAAGAGCCAAATCACAGATGTGTGGTTCCTGGAACGGCCTCCTTAAAGGCCATCGGGGCTCTATGAATGAGCGCCAGTTTTTTTTCACTGCTTGAACCACAGGGTATTTTCACCAAAATAAGGAGGATTTAACTTCTTTAACAGGTGCGAAATGTGTGGCGCATTCCCAAGGAATTTGTCGGTATCGAACATCTAGGTCCCCGTCTATTTACTCAACGTTCTACATATTGTTTCATTGCACTTTGGTTCAATTTTTGAACTTTTCCGCTGAAGCAATTTCAGAGTGTTTAACAGAATTAACAATTTCGTCACTATGGTTACCATGAAAGTAATTACATAGAAGTGAATGTGTTTTCACAACACAACACAACAATAATGCCTATTGAGATTTGTATGGTATTATACAGGAGTTAAGTGGATTGTCGCAATGAGAATCACATATTAAACGTGAGAAATCCGCCTTCATCAATCTTAAAAGGATTAAAGATTATCCCCTAGAAATGGAATGTTCCAGAATAGGCTAACCCTTCGGCGCCCACTCACGCTCACAAATAGAACTAATTCGTTTTAAAGTATTTTTTGTTCTGTAAGGTGCAACCCTCTG